TATGGGGGGGCAGTATAGACCACCAGGCTTATGTAAAGGCAACAGGGCATGGAATTTATTGTGTCTGAGTGCCAGCAGACAGAAAGCAAAAAGACCTTCTCTAGGAAACAAACAGAAGTGTGTCCCTCTCATAGGCATGGAAAGGACAGAGGGTACGTTATGTGAGAAGATTGAAGCTCCAAAGATAATAAATAAAGACAGCTGAGTGAAGCACCCAGGAATGAGAGGCTCTTGGTGGGAGTCAGTAGGTTCTATAAAGTTTTAAGTGTGATGATACTGGAGTAGCTAAGGTCCAGAAATGACAGGTGAGTGAGGAAAAAGTACATGGGGGTGTGAAGCTGGGGATCCAGGTGAATGATCAGCATCATCTCTGCATTACCTAGCACCGTGACCAGGTAGATCAGGAGGAAGAGCAGGAAGAGGACCAGTTGTGTCTCTTCAGAATCCACTAGTTCCAGAAGAATGAAGTCAGGCTCATTGCTGGAGTTCTATCTACCCATGGTGTATTGTTTTAAACTATTGAGAAATCAAAGTTGACACTTAGCTTAATTGACTGCAAAAGTGTCTTTATTTTCATAAGGGGAATTGTTTATAATTAGTGATTCCAGACATTGCTAAAAGCTATACAGGATATGAGCAAAAGTATTTGTTATGTATAGATCTGGGTATAAATTGACATTTGATTCTTATATATTCAGAAGTTACATCTTTTGTTTAGTATGAATCTAATACCACTATAAACACTTTGCTTCATTGAAATGTTTAATTTACATTAAGATATCACAGCAGAGGCAGAAAAAGGGCACAGAATGTTACTAAAGTGTAATCAGAAAAATTATATGTTGACACTGTGACTCTATCAAGATATTTTGACCTCACAGGACATGCTTACGATACTGTGCTTACGATACTGTGAAATACCTTTCAAAAACTTTAAAAAGAGTGTGTAATTATTTATGCTAAAATCAATTCTTTATTATTTTTATTTTAATTCACATGTTTCTTATTAATTAAAATAATTTCAGTCTTGGGAGTTGACTGAGGCACATTAAGATTATAGAGTGTACAAAGTGTCAAATTCCTGAAGATATCATAACTGAGAGTAAAACACTTCTTTAAGCATTGGGAGTTTTAAACATTGGCTGCTTCTCCACCTTCCTCTGGCCAAGAACAGGAATATCCACCCCTTTCTGCCCTACCCTTAGCAGACTGGGCTGAGAAGTATTGCTCAGAAAGATATGCATTCCTCTGAAAGAATATTCAGTTGTCATACGAGAAGATCAAATTGTGGTTTAATTTGGACAAGAAAGGCAGGGAGTTTGGAGTGACCTCACCATAAAAATCCTTGCACCTCAAAACACAGAACTAGAGCTTTGAAGTCATCAGAACCTCTCTGTCTCCTTCGGATTAGCAATTAAAAACTATTTTCTTTCCAACAAATAAGTTTTCTCTATTTCCTTTTTTTGGGGGGTGGGTAGTGAAGGATTCATGACCTTCAGTTCTGATAATGATGTATTTTTCTTTTTATTTTATGGGAAAAGAGTAAAATAAAATTTCATAAGAAAAGAGTAAGACAATGAAAACAGTTAATGCATTTCACATTGTTATCTTTAAAGTAATTACTCAGAGTACAAGATACTGGCATAAACCTTTCCTAATCAATATTAACACAAACTTTTCCTTTTAATGAACTAAGAGACACTAATAGTACAACCAACTTGCATTTTTCTCCTTTTTCTTTCTTTTTACCCGTCCTATTTCCTTTTTCCTTTTCGGCAATTTCTTCCCATTTTACCATATCTATTGTACATTTTATAATTTATTTATTCTTTCCGTTTCTCATGCTGGGGAGACAATACAATTTTTATACATGTGAGTCTGATTCATTTCATTTATGTGTACTTTTCTAATACCTACTCAAAATCAATTTTTTGCATAAATTAAATTTTTCCAAATGTATATTGTTCATATGCTTTGATATCACTGACTGTATATTACTGTTTTGCAATTCATAACATTATGGTAAGGACTGAATAATATATATATGTATATGTGTGCATATTATTCTAATAAACCTACATTTTATTTTATTCTGTTTAATCACCTCCAATGTTAAGAATGATACTGAGAGAGAAAGGCTGAAAAAAATAAAGACTTCTTCTACTAGTGTTTCTTGAAAATTTGTCAAGCTCGCATTTTTCTTGGCAATAAGAGATGAAAACCATTTCAGTAATTAAAAAATTTTGGAAATACTATTTATATTCCTTATGTAATTTAACTTCATGTCCTTGAGCATTCATTTTTTAGTTCTGAGATTAATTATTTCACGCTAGAAACTTTTTTCAGTTCGTAATGAAATGAAATTTTTCAGAAAGTGTGCTCTGCAGCAAATTAGAGGGGGAAACTGAAAATACCCAGAACAGTTTATGCTTTCCTTCCAAGACTATAATTACAAAGCGCCTCACATAATGCACGTTCAGAATCCTGCAGCCTTTGATCATCCTCAGGGAGCAAGTTCCAAGCAACATTACTAGGCAAGAATTCTAGAACAAAAGTTCAAGGATTGACTGGGTAGCATTTTTTGTTTTTTTTCTCTTAGGAGCTCGATATTTGGAAACTTAATCATCTTTTCTTGTGAAACTCTGAACTATAGTCAGGCTTCATTTATTAAATTTTCAACTTGACACCTAGTTATTCAAACTTGCAGAAAACAATATTTACATTCAAAGGCTGAATGAGGAAGTTTTTGACTAGGATGCGGGAGAAAAAAATTTCCAGAGACATACAGATTTTATGACTGACTGATTTTATGAAAAATGGAACAACAGACTTTTCAGCTGGCATATTTTATACTCACAAATATGACTTGGACACAGAAGTGCCCCATACTCATTAGAAAAAAATATAAAATAACAAAATTCAAAGAAGAAAATAAACCATCTCAGAACACTGTTATATTTACTTACACAATAGTAATTTCTCCCAATTATTTATTTTTATGCACCAAATTTTTGAATATGTACTTATTGATTTGCATAATGATGTTAATATTGTGTATTCAATACATTTCACAACTCAGTACAGTCATTTCATGATTACAGTACAGTCTACCATGACTTGTTAAATTAGCCCAATGCTAAGCAACACTCGATGTAGTATGTACTGGACGATGCCCTCATCCTCCCCATGTGCACAGAATATGTGCAGCTAATAAATACCCATCTAGAGGCATCACAAGAATGGGGCAGAACCTCCATTCTGGTTTGGGAGTGTGATTGTCTTCATCTGAAGTCAACTTTGTGTGGTAGCTTTCACTGTTTTAGTGTACTTCATTTTACTTTTATTTTATGAAAGAAAAATGAATTGAAAAACACAATCAGCCCTAAGACTAACAAGAATTGCAATGAATTCAGTAGACAAAAATTTGCTTTTGTTTTATATGATCAAGTCAGGTGTTATCTTGAAAATAATAAGAAATTAAAATGTTATAGTAAAATTGAAATATATTATTGAGAAATAATAATCCAAAGTGAGGACTCGAAGGATGAATTTGACAATGTACATAGTAAGAATTAGAAAAAAAACATTTTTGTAAATTTTGCATGACCTTATGAACAAATCAATTTTCATGCACTTATAAAAATGACTTTCTTAGAAAACTGTGTTCACATTCCAAAATTTCCAGATCTAATTAACTGGAGTGGATAAAGACACTGTTTTACTAATTATTATAATGTCAGACTTGTGGAAAGAAAGTATTATTCATCAATAATTATTTTATATAGCGATAGGCTATTTTGGAGATTTAAATGCCAATTATCTTACTGTGTAACTCACAGGTAACAACGAGGTAACAGGAAATGTTGCAATTTCATCCAAATAAGGGGGTGAGGGTGAATTTCTATCACCCCAACAAGCATGAGAGTGCAAGCTATGTGAAGAATGTTTTCTTATGCAAGATTTTCTAATCTTGACTCCAAATAGAATCACATATGTTGCTGTTCATGAGAGCAGAGCAATTCTTATAAGTCCTCCATGGCAGCAACCAAAGTCCAATAAAGAATTTAAAATTTCTTTCAATTTAAACATAACATTTAAATTGTACTCATGTCTTTTTTTTTCTGTCTCTTTCTCCACCAACCTTCTCTGTCTTGAATTATTCTTCTGATACTTTATTCATTCATCTTTGACTAATTCAAGAATTGAATGACTATAACTTTTAATTAATAAGTTGATGTTTATGCAAATTTTGAAATACATTTTGATATTTTGATTCATGAATATGAAAAGTAGTGATTGGCTCAAATGTATTAGAATATCCACCAATCTATACTTATATCATTTTTTATGTTGAATGCATTGCTACTTTTTCATTTTTTGCAAACACTTTTTTAAATTATAACTTTTACATGTGCTATTTTATTTCTCCAACTTTAGTAAATTGAATTCATTTTTCTCTGTAACAGTAATATCTAATTTCTCTAACAGTAATATCTCTTTATCTAATTCTTTTTATCAGTTTAATGGAAATCTACCAGGGATGACAAACATCTACTCCTATTAGCATTTGAGAATGTCATGTATTAAAAGTTAGGTTCTGTAAGTGGGAATCAGATAAAAATTAGATCTTTAATCCAATATGCCTGACAGATTAGGGCACAGATACACCCAGAATATGGAAAGAAGGCCTGGGCATCTGTAAACCATAAAGAGAAGCCACAGAAGAAAGCAACCTGCCAACACCTTGGTTTTGGACTTTTGTATCCAAAACTGAGAAAAATACATCTTTACTGCTAAAGCAACTCCATCTATTGCATTTTCTCATTGCAACCATAGCAAACTAATGAAACCAGTATTGTCATATGTGGCTATGTGTATTTATATATGTAAATGAATATGGACTCAGTCAGAAAGGAAGATTCACATGTGTAGAAAATTGCATAGTTAGACTAAGATCTTTATTTTTTAAATTTCAACAAGAATGGAAACACACTGCTTATCTACAAATGATGATTCAGTTTAAAATTTTGCTGAGAGAAATTCACTTTATCCTTATACCAGCACTTTCTAAATAGTCTTTTCATTGCCTCTAGGACATCTTTGTTCCTCAAACTGTAGATGATGGGATTCAGCATGGGAATGATGATGGCATAACATATGGACACTATCATGTCATGCTCCAAGGCATAGTTGGAACTTGGTCGCACATACATAAAGAGGATCGTCCCATGATAAATGGATACTCCCATGAGGTGGGAGCTACAGGTCGAGAACACTTTTTTCCTTCCCTCAGCAGAAGGCATTTTCAGAATGGTCAATAGGATGAGACCATAAGAGATTAGGACAATTAGGATAGTGACTACCTCAATGGAACTCACAAAGAGGAAGAGTAGAAGCTCATTTATATGAGTATCAGAACAGGAGATAGCAAGGAGAGGGGGAATGTCACAAAAGATATGACTAATTTCACTGGATCCACAGAAAGATAGGCTGAAAGTGGCCACTGTATGTATTGTAGAATGTAGGACACCACCAACAAAAGAAGCCATGATGAGCAGCACATAGACCCCGGGTGTCATGCTCACAGAATACAGAAGAGGGTTGTAGATGGCCACATAGCGGTCATAAGCCATTGCCGCCAAGAGAAAGCATTCTGTGGTCCCAAAAGTAACAGTAAGAAACATCTGTGATGCACACTCAAGGACTGAAATGACTTTCGTCTTTGACATAAAATCTCCTAACATTTTTGGAGTGATAACAGTAGAAAAAGAGGCATCCACAAATGACAAAACGCTCAAAAAATAGTACATTGGGTTGTGGAGCCGGGGATCCCCAGTGACCAATACAATTAGCCCAATGTTTGCCATGATGGTAAACAGATAAATTGCCAAAAACAGGAAAAAGAGAATGATCTGCAGTCGAGTATCATCTGTGAAGCCCTTGAGGACAAAACTTGTAACTTCAGTGACATTGTTCATACTGAAAACACATAAAAAAGATTTGAAGACATTAAAAAGATTAACAACCATATTACTATGAAAATACTGAGCATTACTCTATGTCAAGGCAAGATGGAATCTATGCATCCTTTTTTTATGAATATATAATGTCATACAGTGGATTAGGAAACAATGAGAAGATAGTTGGTCCATGTTTGATGCCATCAATGCAGACAGAGTCGAGTTATGTGCTTCCTCACATTCTAAATCTGTGCTGTTTCCAATATCTCTAATATATATCCCTATATTCTTTATCTGGCATCATATAAAAACATGTTAAAACACATAGGCAGAAAGTTAAAAAGTGTCCTTCTGATATCCAAAACCATCATGGCGCAAGTTGTAGGAAAAGATTCTCAAATTCTATATCTCTTGGCAATTTCATAAAAATTATTTGTTATAATATAATGTCCTACAGAATTAGAACATTATTTTATAACATCAATAAAAATGTTGAAGAACAAAAATATTAGTAAAATTTATTTTAAAATTAGAACATGATAAATTAGGTTGATTCTATACAGCAACTGCTTCCTATATTATAGATTTTATAAGAATTTTGTAAACTTTTCTATCTCTAATGAATCCTATTGGGGTGGTCTAAATAGGATTAATGAATACTTCAGGAGCAAGGTGGCCATTAAATTTATATGACACCTTATGTTTAATATTTTTCTTATACATGGAATTCCATTAACTTTTAAATTAAATTGTTTTTCATTTATTTTTTCTTAGCATTTAAATTTGAAGCATTCTTTATGTTTCTGCACTTTCATGTCCAGTGAAATTCAGTAGAATTGTTCTGAAAAAAATGTAAAAAGTTGATCTTTTTAGTTAGTATTACTTTTAATTAATATTATGGAGTCCATGAAATAATAAATCATAATTTATGACTTATTTCCAAGATTTACTATTATAAATTATCCTGCTTCAAACATTGATGCATATATATTGCTGTGGTATGAGCAAAATGAGAAAGGATAGCAAGGAAAAGAGCAAAATTACAAGTCAGTTTTACTGTTAGCATCTCTTAGTTCATTAAAAAGGAAGGTTGTGCTAATATCAATTGGAAAAGTTGTTATTGTTATACCTTTTACCCTGAGCAACTACTTTAAAGATAGTAACGTGGAATGCGTTAGCCATTGCTATTCCCCTATTATTTTGTTATGAAATTTTGTTTAGTCCTTTTTCTATAAAATAAAACAAAAATTAAAATTAGCAAAAAGATTCATAAAATAAAAATTAAAAGCAAAAATGTAAAACTAAAAGAAAGATAAAATAATAAAATCATCTAGCACTATCCTTCCAATCAAATAAATTAGTTTCTCTCATTTGATCATAATACAGAAGTATGTAGCAACTTCACTTTATTTAAGTTATGTAAGTCTATTATTGCATACTCTAACCTACAGGATATTTTGGTCAGTCTTGAGGATGTTTAATTGGCTACAAATTAAATATGTAAATTACTTAGATTGTCAATATATACCTGGCTCCATTTTCAATAGGCTCAACTAATTTCCACCATTAATAGTCAGTTAGTTTAGAGCTAGTGATGAAAGTTGGAAGCAAGACATGTAGCAACTGTCTCCTGGTGTAGGGAGAAGAACTGTCAAAATCAGGATAAAACATTTGCAGAATTATTCAAAATAATAAAGATAAACCATAACAAATGTTTGACTAAAATTCTTTTATTTTTCCTTCCTTCCTTTCTTTCTCTCTTTCCCTTGTCTCTTTTTTGTTTTCTACTTTACTTCCATTATTTATTTATTTTAAAGTATGGTTTTATGAAAAATCATTTTCCATTATTTGGAGCATATAATAAATTCAGCATAATAATAAATTTCAAAAATGCTTTATAATCAATAATGTTTTAAATGAGATTAGCAAGCTTAATAGCTCTTTAACACTAACAAGAAAGAGCACCTCTGACTCCAGTCCATGTGCACCCTACCATCTCTGCTTCCTCCTGTGCAGAGGGCTCTCCTCTCTGTTATTCATGAAGTTTCTTCCCTCAAATGTCACAACTGTCACAGCCACTGATATTTTTATTCCTAAGAATTCAAACCATGGAAATGAAGACTATGTACAGCATTAATGACTACAGATATTTTTAAATACAATTCAAAATCAAACATGAATACATTTGATGAAATATAATTGTAAAGTCTGCACCATGAAATCATCACAAAGCAGAAGTCTCAGGATAGAGAAAATAGGTGTAGTTTTGTATTGCTGAAATAATAGACTAAACTTTGTGGATAAATAGAACAAGTATACGTAAAGATAATAAAGAAAATTTCTTATCATCCACACATATGATTTCACAGTAATTTGAAAAATATAATTATAAAATGATATAAAACTTTGTGCTTAAATTGTTCTGTTCTGACCTGTATAGTTATGTTGTTATGTCCTCTTTTATCTCAATCTCCCCTTTCTCTAGAAATTTATTTATTTTTTATTATTATTTTTAATTAAGGAAAAAATTTTGCAGGATATATTATAATAACTTTTTTGATTTCCTATTAACTTGATTTGAAGCCCTGTATTGCTCTCAACATCTTGTTTTGACTGATTTTACTCTATTCTATTTTGTTTTATAGTATCAAGTTTGAGGGTATAGGCAACTACGTTGAAGGCAATAAGATTCACTATGATGCCCATTTTGGTTTGACTATTATCTTCTTTTGAGGTCCTGTAATGTCTCCAATGTTTAGGTTTAATTTGTTTTGTTCAATTTTATTATAATAGGCAATTATTTTCAAGGTAGCAAGAGGCATTATGGTAACCATTGTTGATGACCTTGCATTTTATTTTTACATCACGTACTATGTCTATCCTTTGTTTTGACTGACTGCTTTGTTTTATCATATTTGGTTTTCTTTTCTTCCAAAAAAGTAATAAGAACTATGGGAGTAATAAAACCCAAAATGTGTAATTATTATTGTAAAAAAGGGAAGAAAAGAAAGTGCTCTAAAGGATACAACTGCAAGTGTGTTTAGATGTGTAAGATGGATGACCATATTACTAAGTTTTTGTTGGATCATTGAACACAGCTGTCTGCAGTCTCACTGTTTGAATGTCCACTTTGTATGCTTTAATCCTGTAACTTGAACAACTATTTCTAAGATGACAATCTATTAACTAGTGATTTCTTACTGTTTATTTTTTGAAATTCTGTATTATTTGTACCCTTTATTGCTTTGGTTTTTTTCTTTAAACAAAATTTTTTAAAAAGGAAAAAATGATATACAACTTTTACACACTACAAAAAATTTAAAATTTCTTAAGATTCTGTAAATACCAAGTGATACTGAGGTGCTGAATCAAAGCTAACATGTTTACTCTGTTGGTAGGATTATTAACAGTTTAGACTCTTTGAAAATCAACTTGTGCCTAGTAAGTTATTTATAAAACTAGGATACAATATATAACCAAATGAATTAATATAGGTGAGTCTAAAACCAAACTGTTGAGTGAGAAATAAAACCAAAGTGGCTGAACAAGATAGTACTGTGTCATAATGATTTTAAAAATCATTGAATTTATATCAGATGTTGTTAATGAGGACATAAACATATATTTAAATGGCAACTTGCATATGAATAAAAAATTGCAATTATACTTAACTCTGGAAAGGAAAATAACTAGATAGGATCAGGAATATGTTTATTATGAAGAGGAAACTCTAAGTAAAAAAATCAAACAAGTAAAAGCTCTACAATTTTTACCTCATAAAATATGAAATTCTATGGAAAAATAAAGGTTGAATCATGTAAAAATTATGTGAATTTGACTCCTACTTGATATGATTCATAAAATATATATTAATACTTATCAGTCCTCTAAGGTTAAAATATTAGTTAATTGTGTTTTATTTGCATATGTATAATTAACAAATACAATTAACACAGTCATACCAAACTTGAGACTTTTACCAAATCATAAATACCATATTTAAATTAAAAAATATTTTACTGGATATATAGGCAGCATTGCATAGTACACCTATTAATTGTTGCAATAAATTACAAAGTTAAGCATTTCATTCAAAGAAACATGACAATTTTCATAAGGGAAACATTTTCTATGCAAATAATTCATATGTCATAAAATTAAACCATTTAAAAGGAATAAATCAATGACTATTATTATATTCACAATGTAAAGCCACTGCTATGATCTAGCTACAAAATGTGTCTGCTACTATCACTTATCCTTTAAACAATTTTTCCCATTCCTAAGCCTCAGCTATTACCAATAGATTTTTTTTGTCTCTATTGATCTATCACTTCATGGTAATTTCTGTATGCCAACACATACAAAATATGATTTGTGCCTATCTAGTATTTATCATATTGTTTTCAAAATTCACTTCTATTTGAAAAGTGCCAATATTCCACTATGCATTCATCCATTCTTTTGGTTATAGATATTTATGCTTAGTCCACCTTTTGACTATCATGAATAGTATTCCAAATACACGTACTCGTTGCATTCTTTCAAAAAATTTTGACTATATATGTAGGAGTAGAACTGTAAGTTCCATGTTTAACTTTTTGAAGAATCACAGAGCTGTTTCCAACATGTAGGGATCAATTTACCCTTTTATATTATGACCACAAATGCATAAATATATAAATATCTCGTATCTTTATCTCCATTTGTGTTTTCTGCATTTTATCTTAATAAGTCTCCTTTGATTTGTATTACTCCAATAATTACTAACATTGAACAACTTTTCATGGCTTCTTTGACTAATTGTATGTTTTTTAAAGAGACTTACTTTCAAACCATTTGTCCAGTTTTTAGTGGATTATTTGACTTTATGCTGTCTTCTTGTATAATTTCTTTATATGTGCTGGATATTCAAAACTTATTGAATACGTTATTTGGAATGTATGATTTCATTCTCTAGGTTATCTTTTACTTCCCTAAGTGATATAAATTTTAGTTCATTGTAATTATGCAATACAATATATAAGACTGAATAATTCGACAGT